GGCGTTAACGCCGACGCCGACACCGACGACGCCTCCACCGCCTTCGCCCTCTGTTTCGTGCTCGTCGTACTCTGAGAGCACTTTGTCCAACAGCTCGATCGATCGTTGCACATCGTCACCTCTGGAACAAACGTATCGTTCGATTCTATAGAGATTGTGCGAAAGAGTCGATTTCGACGGATCGCGCGTCGACGACGGTAACGGAGAGCGCGACGTAAGAACGAGCGAGTCAGGGAGGGAAGAGAAAAGGGAAGGGAATGTTGGCACGATCGGAAGGAGTCGAAAGGGGCAGAGAAGAAGAAAGCGCGAGCAGAGGTCAGGGGTGGAAGCGAGAAGAGGCGTTAGTCGGGGGTGGTGGCGAACGCGGAGGGTGCGTCGCGTCGACGAGCAAAGTTGCGAGGCAACACGGACAAATCAGCCCGCGCGTACTGACGCAATGCAGTCTTTGCCCCGAGCGGTAATTTCGATTGTTAATTACCGTGGAAGCATCGGGACTTTGTCATCGAGACGATCGAGAGAAAGCGCGTTATTCGATCCGACCGCTAACTTTTCTTCCCTCTGCTGGTTACCTTTTCAACGAACGCGTTCCACTCCCGTTCCGCGTTCGAAGAGAAATCCCTCGTTCCATGCGGAGAATAAAGAAACCGCTAAACCCGTTGACGGTCGATGCGATGCCGCGATTCGACGAAATCGGAAAAACGTAAGATTTGCGCGAGCGGGAAAACAACGGGCGTGCCGCGACAAAACCGGTGGCCGAACAGCGAGACAATAGAGAGGGAAAAAAATTTGAGAATGGATGCAGCTTTCGGGAGGTTGCCCAAAGCCAAACGTTTTAGAAAACGTTTCGCGAAACAAAAGAGCAGAAATCCAGGCTCTTTCCTTCCTCGTCGACGGCTCCCTGGTCGGCTTTTCAGTACCCTTACGGAACGGCTCGTCGTCAAGCTCGTTAACGTTTGATTCATAATTCAAGATCGCAATTGGCCGAAAGCTGCGCCGAATAAAAATCGCGAACGTTTCTTTCTTTCTTCTTCCCGGTGAAATCTCGTCGTCCCTGGTCGTCACTTTGCTCGAAAAGTCGTCGCGATTTCGAATCCGTTATCGACGCTGTCGAACCAGAGACGCGTTATTTTTCCATCTCGTCTCCCTTTTCCTCGATATTCTCGGCAGACACGGTTACCCGACGTTTTTACCTGCGCCAGGAAGCTTCGAATTTCATCGTCCAACGATCGCGTTCGCAGCTATTCTGCGGTTTAAACGACGCGAACTCGGTGTTTCGATATCCGATACTCTCGTACCGAGTTTAACTAATTTCCGCTCCGATCTACGCTTTCATAGGTGTTTAGCTTAACCGCGTCCCAACTCGAGCAAACAGGAATACCGACAACTTATATTTTCCGCAACTTTTTACGGCTATAATCGTAGCGAAATTCCCGAGACCGCGATCGATCGTCCCGTAACTCCGTTTTCGAGCGGAAATCCGTTCGCGACCGTTTAGGATTTCCGGGGACGGCAGGGAAAAAGCAGGAAAAAGGAACGAACCGAATCGATCTTTTAATCAAAAGGGAACGGTCAAAGTCCTCGGATTATCGAATTATCTCCGAGTGGCCTGATTGGTAGGCAAATATCGCGCCTGCGGGCCCTTTCGCCCTTCCGGAAATTTCACGGTGAACCGTCTCGAATCGGGAACGCGATTCGTCGCTGAATCGGTCTCCAATTAAAACTGTTTACGCGCGACTCGTCAACGTCGAAATCAAAGTTACGAAGCACCGAGGGAAACTGATTACTCGCGCGAAGAGGATCAAGCACGACTTTCGAGAGTCTCGAGGCGCCGCGTTGATCGGCTTTCTTCCGATCGGTCGTTGAAAAGGAAAATGAAAATGGGCTACGGACAAACAACACGGGTGTAGGTGTTTAGGGCGCGCGAACGATTCGAAGCGAGGTACTCCGTGTATCTATTCGATAGAGCGGATCGGCGAGTCTCGAGCGGCGCAGCCGTTTTCGAATGTGGGTCAGTGGTCGATCGGTCGATACGCGTGTCCTGCGTCGCGCGCGCGTCTACGCGTATGTAGGCTATCGGGATGGATAACGGACGCCGGACGTAGCGACCACCTATATATGCGCGGTTGCTCCCACCGAGTCCTTTCGTGCCGCGTACACTCTACCTAGCCTACACGACGATAACGACGATTCTCCACTATCGCCATTGGGGATGTAACAATCGACATCCCCAAATTTCCGCGCGTCCGTCCTTCACTGTCAATGCATTTCCAAATTTAGAAATTCTCTTTTACACGAAATTAACGAATAGCCTCTATCACATTTTCTTTGGGGAAATGAAATTTGCTCCGGAGCCCAGGTGTCTCCCTACGAAATCGACTGGAAGCAATGATTCGTAGTTGAACTGCACTACACCTGACTGTACATACAGCGGGTACAATCGCGTTACGTCTCCGCGGATCTCGTTTAAATTTTAATGGAAAATCGGGTCGTTCCGATTGCGGGGAAGTAATATTCGCGGTAACGAGTGAAAAAGACGGAGAGACGAGTACGTAAACCGAATTCGTTATCGATCGATCAAAAGGACGCGGCTGGGTGAGAGATCCTTTGAGATTGGGTTAGGTATTGGATGGACGGGTGTGCCGCGGGTTATATACCTCGGTTTATCAGCCTCGATTCGTCTCGTTTAGTTATCGTAACCGGGCGAAAATCCTGCGATCCAATTTCTTGCATTTTCCAGCCGGTTTCTCGAGGGCAAATTAACCGGCGATTAATTCGTCTTCTAACGAGATCATAACCCTTACGGCGGCCAAGCAAATCGCGTTAACGCGTCGGCTAATGGTTTAATCTCGTATATCCAGACCCAACTCCGAAACTCTCCATCGAATTATTCGCCGCACCGTACCGGCTAGACCATGGAGTTACGAGCTCGAAATAACTTTTACTCGCGCATCGCCTCTAGAAATATTATCCAGCAAGCTCCCGCGAGCTTTTACGGAGACACTCGCTCGGTACGGCGAGCCATAGACGGTAAATCGTTTTCTTTTCTCCTTCGTTCGGACGAAGGTTCGTCGTCGAATCTCTACCGGTCTCGTTTACCCAATTACGCGCATCGCTTCGCAAAGGATTTCCGAGTACCGAGAATGGACTTAACGTTAAGAGCCAAGCTTTCGGAGATAACGCGATTTCCAGCGTCTAGCAGGATTTTCGTAACCGTCGATCATCGAATAAAGCGACATCGGCTCTATCTATCGCGGCCGAACGACTCGCCCCGAGGGGCGTTGAACTTCCACGAGCGTTACCGCGAGTACCGACATCGATCGCGCCGCGCATCAATTTTTCGATTACCTTTAATCGTCTAATTAATCTCGCGAACTTATCGCATCCCTGCTGCTCGGTATCGACCTCGAGACTAATCGCGTTCGGCGAACCTCGGATATCCCACGGTACTCGCCTTTCGATCGATTCGAAGCATATTTTTCCAGATATTACCTATCGAGCCCCGTGAATCGAACAACGACTCGATTTTCCTTTCTCGTCGCACCCCGCGCGATCGACCCTAGTCGCGTTTCTCCGTTTGTCCATTTATTCGGCGAGATGGAAAACCTCTTCTCGGACAGAAGCGATTCGCGAAGCTGGTCGACGACTGACCGAGTATGAAAAGAGTCTAACGAGCGGAAACGAACGCACGCATCGATCTCCGCGATGGATTCACGGGGCATCGTATCGCGACTAGAAAAGTTATTCACCCCGAATCGATCCGACCGATCGTCGAAGCCGATGAAAGCCGACCTAAGTAGTTAATTGGTCCGCTGCCCGATACTCCGCGTTCTTTTTCTACTCTCGCGTTTCTATCGCCGATCCTATTCTTCTCTCGGCGGAGCGATAATCCATCCGGTCGCCGATCGAATCGCGGAAACGGAAAGACGTTCGCTTTCTCCTCTACGAGAGCGCGTTAACAAAAACTCGCTGTCGACTCTCGATCGCGGTATATCGATAAATTCGATTGTCGAGAATCGCGATCGTACCCTATTCGAGTTTCAACGAATCGAGCGTGGAGGAGAAAGCTGGCGAAAAAAAGCGAACGAAAGGCAGAGAGAAGTATGGTGCAATGCGGTACGGAGTAACGTAACGCGCGCTATTACGTTTCGCTGTTTCCACATAGGGAGATACCGAAAATCGATAGCGTGCGGCGTGATTCTGCACGAACCATTAAAACGAAATAACGCTTGCGAGGCAGTATTTTCTTGGACGCGAGCCTCGATTATTCCCGATTCATCGAATCGCGGCAGACCGTCTTTGATCAAAGATGCTCGACTCCGATCTTGCGCCTTCCATCGAGCTTCCTACCTCGTATATACATATCGATTTTATACCGGAAAGCACCGCCTCTTCTTTCTTCTCCGTCCGCCACTTTACTCTGGCAATTTGTTCGAGTATTTCGAAGCTACGAATCGACGAAAGGTCAATGTCGACTCGCGGATCGCCACGATTTCTCCTCCGGTTTTTCTCTCTCGCGCGCGTTTTTGCGACGGATCTACTTACTCTGGAGCAGGATTTCTCCAGCGTTGCGTTCCAGTCCACGCCATCGGGCATTGACCGCCCCCGACCTGAAACAAGCCAAGCATCCCGCGTCAGTTTTGCTCGCGACTTTTCGGAAGGAAGATTCGTCGAACGAGGACGAACGAGGTCTCGGAGCAACGCGTTCGACGGGGAGGGTTACGCGCGACCTACGAGGGTACGTCTTCGTCCGTCGAAGAAAGAGGCACGAAATAGCAACGGCGGATCGGTCGGTTATGAAAATTTTTTGCGAACGCGGCAGACCGAGGCCGAGAGGGACTCTCGCAGTTTCAGCGGTATTACGATCGCTGCTCTTCAAAACGCGTAGTGGAGGGTACGCCGCACCGTTTTTCCCTTCGCCCTTCGCTCTTCACCCCATCCCCTCTCTCCTCTTACTCCGTAAACCCCTTTTTTCCCACTACTATCCGTCTCCGCTCGCGATTCCGCTACTACTCCGAGCGACGCTATCATCCCCCACTGGCTATTCTTTACATTTCTCCCCTTTCCCTTTCCTTTTTCCACGTTTCGCTTCGCAACTACGTTCCCTTCCTTGCTCCCTTCTGCCCTTCGACCCCCTTCCTCCTTCTCTCTCTCTCTCTCAGCCTCTCACGGTCCCTCTCCTTCGCTATCCCTTATCCAACTTTTTCTCCTTCTCTCTGTTCCTGACCTTTTCTATTCAACGGACGTGATTGCAGCTTGCATATTTTACGAGACCAACCTCGAAGCGCGTGCTCGTCTTCGTCTATCCATCCGTCTGTTCGTTCGACGTCGACGTAACCTAACCTTGCACTTTCCGTCGCATCGTCGAGATTTCCGCTCCTCCCCTCGATACCGCCCGACTCATTCTTCCCTTTTCGCCGTTATCTATCGCTGATCGTACAGATTCTTGTGCCGATAAAATTTTGACCACGTTCGCGCGATTCGAGCTCGTTTCCGACGGAGGGAAGAAAATTTCCCACTCGTTTCTCCGAATCGGTGGCTATTCGCGACGATTTCGTGAACAACGTAATCGGGACGTTTGGCAAAGTTTCGTCGCGATACATCGCGCCTAATGGACCACTCGTCTCTCGCTCGCTTACCAACCCTACCTCCCTCTTCTGCTCCACCATCTTTTCCAGCATTTCTTTTCTTTAACGGGAGTCGGTATCGATTCTTTCGTCCAAGTACAAAGTTGCCGTTTCCTTTTATTCCTTCCATTCCAATGATCCTCTCTCTTTTGTCGGCCGTCGTTTATCTACCGTTCTTCTATCTTTTCTACGAGATAAAGTTATCGTTTACAAAGAAACTGGAAAAAAAGGGAAAAAAAAGAAAGAGAATCGAAGAAAAGAAAGTAAGAGCAGAGGCTGGCAGTTTTAGACGAACGCTTTTGCACCCGGCGCGACGCGACGCGACGGGAAAACAATGGAACGAAACGGAGCCGAGCGGAACGGACCGTTTTCTATGCCTCTCGTAAGGGTAACGAGCGGAAGCGTCACCGAATCGATGGTGTCGGTAACGGTAACGCCGCCCGAGTCGGCCTTGCGACAAGGGTGCACCTCCAGTTTCGATACTTTCTTAATTACGAGCTGCACGCGTTCAAAAACTTCTCCGACAAGAAACGATTTATCGTAATTACGACGGCAGTTCCGACCGAGGGCATCTGCGCAATGCGTTACTCCTTCACGCTGTGTTTTCTCTTCTAGTTTCGATTAATCTTGAAAATATTCGCTCAGAATTATAAGAGAGCGTAACATCTCGGAATATATTACGCGAGCTGAAAGTTTCGGTTTCGCGTCGAAACGAAAAAGCGCGGAGATCAACCGAGCAGAAGGAAGGAGGCGAAGGAAAAAGCGAACGAGAGGAAAGAAAATCCGAGACGTTGCGATGGAAATTTTCGAGTTAACGCTCGAGCAGACGCGTTCGCTCTCTGCTCGTTCCAATTTTCGATACCGTGGCATCGTCTCGATTTTAGTAACGACGTTACCTCGCTAAACGTTCCTTCTCCTCGATCGACTTAATCTTGTAATCCTTGCTGCTCGTCTCGCCTCTCCCTCCCGTTCGCGATAATTTTCAAATTCTAATTTCACCTTTGCCCGCGTCAACGCTGTCGGTCGATAACGTTTCGTCGATCCACTTTTCCCGGCCCGTCGATTCGCTTCGAAATCCAATAACCCCGCGCGAAAGTACGGCCAAATGGACGGAAAAAGGGTCCGACGATTAACCCTTTTGCCGCTACAGCCGACTACTCTTCTTCAAAATGTCTATTACGGATGGCAAACCCTATCGAAACTTTCGCGTTAAATGTCTTTTAAATTATTAACCTCCCACGCGGCTCGTACGAGACTCGTATCAATATGCAAAATCTCGTTAAAAGTTCGAGGACTCGGAGGCGTGGGAACTCGATGAATCTGATTTTATATCGATACACCGCGAAGAGGACAGGTATACTGTTGCTCCCTTTGTTCCGTTAACGAATAGCGAATCAATTTCCGAAAGGAGTTCGCGACCGAGAAGACGGGCCAATCGTAACGCGTTACGTAACATCTCTGTTAGAGAAAGTACTCGGAGAACTCGACGTGGCAACGAGAAGGCGATACAGTTTCGTAGATCGTAAACGTAAAACGGTCCATACGATTCCTCCTCTCGCTCGTAAACGCGTGGAAGGCTTCGAGAGGTTCTACCTCCGATTTCCGACGATGTGAACTTGAAAGTTTCCAAATTCCCGAATATCCAAGAGAGAGAGAGAGATCGTTTTGCACTTGCGTCACTCCGCATCTCGTTTCGAGCGAACACGTTTCGTCAACGCCTACGCGAAATTGGCGAGCCAGGTGGAAAGAACGGCTCGAGAAGAAACCGAGATGAACCTCGGTCAATTAATACTTCCGCGAATCCATCTCTTTTATCGCTAGCTCGGAAAGAAATTCTAATTCTAAACGAATAGAAAAGCCAGCGAAGTAGAAGGAGAAAGAACGAAGCTGCGCGAATTACAGGTCGCGTCGTTCCCACATCTAGCGGAGATCGGCATACGCGAGAGCGAGCATGCAACGCGTTTCGTCGTTTCACTATTTCGTCCGTCGACGCGTTACGCTCTTACGAATTTCCCGCATCGAGTTATTCGTCACGAGCCGCTGATTCGTCGGATAATCGATCGGCGCGACGTCGATCGGTCGAAACAGTCACGATCCCGTGCAATCGGCTTAGATTCGTTCAGCCGGACGCGACGGGACACGCGATTCCAAATCCTCTATCAAGCTTCTGGTTAGACAGAGTTCTTTCAACGTTCCAATATAGCTCGATATTGTTTCAGCGTTCACAGCGATATTAAATCCGTATCGGAGCCAGTCTATTTTGGAAGAAAAGCTTACACGGTTCTTGCATAGAAATGGTTCGATTAGGAAAGAGAAAGTGCCGATTATCGGCTACAGAAATAATATATTATATAAAGTAAAAACTACGGATACCTGCAAAAGTAAAAGTTGGAGTTTTTTGCGACTAAAAACATACTAGATCGTGTTAGATTATGAATCTGAGAAACCGCTCTGATACCTGTATCCGAGTGCATGCAGGTGGTTAACCAACGCTACTACTTTTCAGAGAACGATACTCGCGGCGTCTTCGTGATTTTCCCACAGATACAAATTACGAATTCGGTCCATGTTCTGTGTCCGAATTCTAAATTTGCGGACGGAACTCTGCAACCGAGTTACACGGGGAAGAGCTCGTTACGCGAGGAACTAGGGCCGGAAGCATCGATCGATCGATGCAACGTTAACCGTTATTTGCATAACTACTGTCACCGAGGAACTAGCGAAGCAACGCCTTGCGAGAAGAGGTCCCTCGCGAATTAACGAGCTTCGATCGAACTTTATCGAGTATCGATAGAGTAGAGAACGGAACAACGTTTCATCGATGATTCGCTCTCAGGCGTGGGCGTCAAAACGCGTTACGAACCCTACGTAGGATTTTAAACGAACGCCTATATACACGTATCTCTAAGAATATCCCGCGTAAATCGGGTCACGTTCAATGCTCGCGACTTCCTTTTTCCACGCGAGGGATACGCAACGGCACAAACTCGATATTAATCTTCTCGCGGCCCACGGTTTAATTGGCGTCGAGGCTCGTCCCGTGCGATCTCGAATCGATTCGGTCGATAGGAAGTCGACGCGTGTCGTAAATCGTTGATAGAAGCGCGAACGCGTTCGTATCCGTTTTGTATACTTTGTTAGTCGCGCGTATCTTTGGAAGAATCGCGGACGCGGTGGAAGCAGCCGATCGCGAAGATCTCGGGAACGAGTAAAACGTGAATCACCGCGATCGCGATGACCGAGTCGCGCGACTCGTCCGTAATTACGCATTACGTAAGCCATTGTACGGATTAAAAGGACCGTATCCATCGATGACAGCTGACGGCAATCACGGTTACGAGACCGGTCGTTGAAGAACAACCTCTCCTCGCCTACTCTCCCTCCCACTGACACTTCCTTACCTACCTCAAACCTTATCGCGAGAAACGCGATAACCTAACAAATTTTACTCGCATACGCGATCGACTTTCGCTCGATACCTGCTGCTAAATTCTTCTGACAGAAAAAGAAAAGGAAAAAAAAGATAGCCACTTGGCGAGGGTGCGCGAAGGCACACTCGCGTGTACGTGTGTGCGCGCGTGCGCGTGTACGTTAGACCGATGGGAACGCGCGTCGATCTCGAGCCAAAAAACTGATCGTAGGAAGCATCGGAAGAAGAACGAAAACGAGGATTCGTTGGCGTTGCTTTCTCGAAGGAGCCTCGACGAACTTGGATCGATGAAGGAAACGCGAAAGTTAACCACGAATTACCGTTCGACCGTCGCCAGATACGTAACGACGCGACGCGACGCGGTAGCGAGTAAAAATAATAACGACTATATCGAATCGTTGCGTTCCTTCCTGCGATTCATCGACGCGTCAACTTATTAAGCGAGTAACTAACGACTACTTAGTTCGCGAACCTTGACACGAATCGATGTTTCGTAATCGTATCGAGACACGATCATATTTTCTGACACTTCGGTAAATGACTGGCATCGCGCGTCGCGTCGGTAAAAACGGCAAAAAGTAACGCGTACCTTTTCGCGTCGATTTCGATCGCGAAAACCGCGATGACCGACAACGGACGACGGACGTTCGTCGAGATATCGACATCGTCTATCTTTTTGGCGATACGTTCGAAATAAAGCATAGTGTCTCGTACCTGTTCAGCGCGAAACTCGCGCCTGTTCTTTTCTTAGAATACCACGTAATAATCCAATATGGCAGAACACACACATGTCAAAACAAATCGGCGAATGGCGCGGCGCGGAATGACGCGGCGACAGCGGCAGCGGCCGC